CGTTCTCTCTTCGTCCCTTTCAAATACCAGAACCTTAGTTTTATTAGCATTCAAACGGAGACCTTTAATTTCACATTCCTCTTTCATACACGTGACTAATGCCTGCAGTTCTGCCTCTGATGGTGCAATAAGCACTGCATCATCAGCATACAGCAGACAATTTACTTTTATGTCACCCAATTTCACACCCAAACAGCTATCTTTCAGCTTCTGTAAACAGCTGTCGAGATACAGTATGAACAGCCAGGAAGACATGACACAACCCTGCTTTACGCCCGTTTGGACGTTAAACATGGGTGACAGGTCATGCCCTACCCGCACACAGGCTTTACAGTCACAGTAAAGAGACTGTACAGCCCTTAGCAATCGACCATCCACACCATACCCCGGCAACAGTTCCCACATTTTCTTCCTTACAACCTTATCAAATGCTTTCTCAAGATCCACAAAAGCACAGAAAATCTTCTGGTTAGCAGCCAGAAGCTTCTCCGTGATCATGCGGAGAGAAAACATTTGATCCGTGCATCCTCTTCCAGGTCTAAATCCGCATTGTGCCTCCCATAGAAATCTTTCCGATTTCAAAAATATAGAATAATGTACCAATTATTTGTGTTTAATTTCATTCATGTTAAAAATATCATAGTTAATTCCTATTTACAAATTATGAATCACACTTTATGTATTAGGATTAATTATTAACAACCGACTGTTAAATTAAACATTTGAAGCATTTAGTTACTATGCAGTTATCTTTAAAAAATGTTTCAAATGTTTAATTCACAGTTGGTTGTTGATAATTAATCCTAGTACATAAAGCCGTAAAGCGTAATGAATGACCATGAACATGAACAGAGGTGTATGTGTTATACGCACGCACACATTCTCACAATATTGTGGCGAAACGACACCAGACGGCGCTAGTACTCCTCGTTTGACAGATTACGCACGAGTGGGCTCTCTTTTTCCTGTATAGGACAGAGCTTCGTAATGTTAGCAAGTCCAAAAATTAGAATTATACGAGGTTTTACAGGGACATGTAGAATCGTTTGCTCATTAAGAATAAACGAAAAAAATAATTATTCGTGTCACCCCTGCAGATTTACGACCCTTCGAAGACGCTTGCTAGAAATTTTATAAAATAGTCATTTTTTAATGGTTTTAAGGCACCAAAGTGAAAATATTCATGCACAGAACGTTTGCGCGTTATTTTCTCGTTCCAGAAGTATAATTACTTTCTCAGAAAAATGCATAATAACTGATTTTCACGATATCATTATTTTTCGCACCCCCAGCCTACGCAAGCATGCGAGTCTGCAATTGCGCGGCGCGCGTCACGCAGCGCACTGTGGCCTGTGGGAAGTATCAAATGTGAAATCAACTTATTGTTTACACTCACAATCCAGGGTTTTCTGTCTCATCAATTTGACAGTTGGATACCAGGCTCACTACACGATTGAGATCTCGTACAATGAAAGCGTAATTAGAAATTCTTAACAACTTATTGCTTCAGAGTGTAGAGCAAAACAATGCAGCTCCAATATCAAATCAGGATCTAAATCATTCTTGTATTTACAGAGGTACCAAGCCACGCAATACAACTTTTATTTATTTTATTTATTATAGAGTCTATTTGGAAAATCATTTAACTAAATATTTGTTCTTTCTGATACAACAAAATTTCATGGTCAAAGATGAAACTGTCCTTCATAATATTCCATACATGGGTGATGAGATCCTTGATCAAGATGGGACCTTTATCGAAAAATTAATAAAAAATTATGATGATAAAGTACATGGGGAGCGTGAGTCAGGATTTATGGATCACTCTATTTTTGTGGATCTTGTAAAGGCGTTAGTTTCCTATGAAAAGGATGACAAAGAAAAAGATACAAATCCTACAAAGAATTTCAAAGAATCAAAAGACGAAGATGAAAAAGAAGATTCTTACAGTACAACTTTTTTATAGTAAATATAACTTTTTTGAAATTTCTTTTAAAATATCTAGTCGACTAGATTTTCATGTTACTTTATGTTTGTAGGCAGTATCTCAAATGTTTCCTAACAAAGGAAAACCAGAAGAATTAAAAGAAAAGTACGTTGAACTGACAGAAAGGTCTGATCTAAATGCTCTACCTCCACAATGTACTCCAAATATCGATGGTGCTACTATAAATAATGCTAATTATAAATTAATAATAAACATTGTTCTATATGATACGTTCTCGTTAAACTTTTTTGATCGCACATATTGATATCAATCTGTACAATATGATCATGGAATAAATTTGTTCTTCTACTCAACATTTCAATTATTATTATTTTATTATAATTTTTTTCAATTAGATCATCTTTATCTAAATTAAAATAAACGTTGGTTTTTATATTATTTTCATTAATTCTCATAAATTAGATAATTAGATATCAATATATTGTATTTGGTATATATTTCCAGACTTTGAATGACAGTTGTCGGAATTTTACCTAGAGTATAATTAAGTATGCTATTCTTCTGCTAATCATTGAAGTTTTTTATTAGCTGTTTTTAATTACATTTAGTTTACATTCGAATTTCTTACATATAAAATTGAGCTTATTTTAATACTTGTCTTTATAGAGCACTTTTCATTTTTTCTCAGACGCTGATCATCTCTATAATCCCATTCACCATTATTTTTCCTACAATACGCAGTGTAATGGCCCAAGCCACCAATTGAAGGTGGAGGAGTGAACCTTATAACTCCACATAAAATAAAATTTATGTCATTAATTACAATATTTTCTGGTATATCTTCTACTTTAGTGAAAACTTCAGATGTGTTTTTGCCAATAGATTTTGCATAGGTAGAATCTTGATATGCAGTATCTACTTCAATCAACAGGTAAGGTCCCATGATGTAGTTGGTATCTCTCTGGTTTTTACATTTTTTGCAAAGATATCTAATTTGAAACTTTTCAGTGAGTGAAGCTGCCAAATTTTTATAATTTTTATCCCAGACAACATGAAGATCAGGAAGAACAGTTGTAATCTCACTTGATTCAATGGGATTGCTATCATCATTCTTGCAATTCAAACAGGTTTTTATAATTTTCATATTTTGATATTGACTCATTATTCTGTTGAATAAATGATTAACATTTATTCGGCAGTCAATAGAGCTGGTATTATTACACTGTTCTGGATATAAGGCTTTCAAAACATATCCTCTGTTGACGTATATGGTACTGTCTGGGCCATTAACTGAATAATTGTGCAAAAATTCCATGTAACTTGAATTTTGTATTTTGAATTTTGTATTCTGTTCATTCTTATCTTTTGGAAGATTTGCATTCACAAATGAATGAAAGGATTCAAATTCAGAGTAAGCATTACTTAAAAGCTCTGAAATGCTATCAAAAGCACAAGTTTGTTGAAAATATAATTTTACGTCATTTACAAGCACAGCAGACAAACTATTACCATTTCTTAAAATACCTTTTCCTCTTTATCTTTTAATGTTTTTTGGTTTTTGAATACTGAATATACTGAGCAGTTATGTTTAAGGAATAATTAAATGTACATAGCTTTGTCATCTTTGTTGATAAACCTAACTCAACTTACTCCAACGAATAGTGTTGAGTTTATCCAACCTTTTTTAGCCTTATTAATGTCAGATTTAGCAGTATGAAACCCTTTATTTAAAAATTTTGTGACTAAGCAAGTTTCTTGAAAAGGTTACTAGAATGCAGCATACTTTTAAGTTTGTCACAGTTTATTAAGTCCAACCACTTGTTTCTTTGGCCTTCGTCAGACTCTTTTCTGTTACTTGCACAATTGGGAATGAAACACTTAAAAATACATTTTAAAACTAAAAATTATATACAAAATACGCTAAAGCTATAAAGAAAACGTCCCGTCGAAATATATAACCTATTAAACAATAAACACCCTTTCGTAAAATGGCAGTAAAATGCCAATAAAACTTTATTTATAATTTATAGTTAGTTCATACTTCATAGAAAAACAAAATAAAAATTTCCAAGAAAACTTCTAACTTGACAGCTACGCGACAATAACATGACATGACAAAATGGCGGAAGCGGGAAGGGGCAAGAGGTGGGAGGGACGAGGGAAACGTCATGTTCTGGATTGCTCACTGCATTCCTACACACAAAAAAATATAAAATGTATAATAAACATTGAAAAGCAACAAGCCAAAAAATGATGATTAGGACAATACTTACAGAAGATTTATAGAATATTGATAACAGCTCTAAATATTTTCTCCAATAATTAAATGTAAGCTACTAGAGGTGCACACAAAACCAATGGCTTTATTGTAAACTTGTTGTCACGATACTTGATTTTGAATGAAACGCCAATTGAATACGCCCGATTAATTAAAACTCGATTAAAATGGGGAATCTAATTACGCTTTCATTGTACGAGATCTCAATCGTGTAGTGAGCCTGGTATCCAACTGTCAAATTGATGAGACAGAAAACCCTGGATTGTGAGTGTAAACAATAAGTTGATTTCACATTTGATACTTCCCACAGGCCACAGTGCGCTGCGTGACGCGCGCCGCGCAATTGCAGACTCGCATGCTTGCGTAGGCTGGGGGTGCGAAAAATAATGATATCGTGAAAATCAGTTATTATGCATTTTTCTGAGAAAGTAATTATACTTCTGGAACGAGAAAATAACGCGCAAACGTTCTGTGCATGAATATTTTCACTTTGGTGCCTTAAAACCATTAAAAAATGACTATTTTATAAAATTTCTAGCAAGCGTCTTCGAAGGGTCGTAAATCTGCAGGGGTGACACGAATAATTATTTTTTTCGTTTATTCTTAATGAGCAAACGATTCTACATGTCCCTGTAAAACCTCGTCTAATTCTAATTTTTGGACTTGCTAACATTACGAAGCTATAGGACAGTTATTATCACAGAATACTTTACTCCTAGCGGAGACTCCACAGAGTACCTTTATATTATACTCTTTGGGGTACATGTATTCTGTGGGCTGCAATGGCGTCTTTGTGAGTTGTTTTTTCGCACCAAATTTTCTCAATTTAATGTTTTGAATACAGAAATTAATGTTTACGTGTTGGATTTAAGGTGCCTTCTGTAAAACTGTTAGTTTTTTCATAATTTTAAGTTGTTTCAACGTATGTTTTAAATACCATGTTTTGTACTGGGCGAGGCGATTTTGTTAATGTGTCCTTAATCGCTCAAAAATACACAAACTACGCGTTTAAAAGCATTTAACGTGTGTATTAATCCAATAAGTTGTTTTAAAGAGCAAAAATGGACAAGAAAAATAAAAAGAGGACTGTTATTAAGCGGAAAAGTGACGATCCTGTTGAGAGTGAAAAGAAAAAAATCATGGTGAATAGAAAAGTTGAAGAAGATAAGGACAAAGTTGAGGTTGTGAATCAAGTGGTGGAGGTTCCTGCAGAGCAGGGTCAACAAATCGTTCACACGGGTCAGTTGGTGGAAGGCAATTTCGAGCAGCCGGTATTTGTAAATATGAAAGGAGAACCTGTTCAGTTAGGGCCAAATACGGTCATCTTATATGAACAGAGTGGGAATCCTTCAAATTTTGCGTTTGGCGGTATGTGGACAATGGACTCCTCGGGTAGGATCGTTATGGCAGAGACTATTTATGACGTCAAAGGAGAACCCGATGAAGAGACCGGTACTTTCGTTCAGAATACTACTGAAGTTAGTAGTGTAAGTAAAATTTATTTATGTTGATTTATAATAATGAGTGGTGAAGAGGGGAGAGAATGGTCAAATCCTACAATCGATTTTGAGTGGGGTGAGAACCTTTAGTATTTGAGAAAAAAAAAAACATTATTTATTAATGTGGTAAGCATTTCTTAGTATGCCTTTGTGTGAAAGCAAGAACAAAAGTAGGTGTAAGGTTTAGAGCCCAATCCCCATGTGCAGGAATTAAATTTTCGTGGCTTTAGGGTGCCCCAAGCGCCTCAACCTACTTCTATGATGTTACTTCATAGGTGCTAACACATTTTAAGTGACTTAAATAAAGGAGGAGCTTTCTAAATTGTGCAGTTAAGTATGATTCCATTCAAATCATTAGACTTCATAAGTCATTCATCTCATTTCAATGACAGACCCATATATTTGTAAATAATGTCACCAACAAATGAAAGTAGTGGTTCATTTGTCTTATCTTGACTTAGCAATTATGAGGTGGTTGCTTCCAAGCTGTTTATAAAATAAATTTTGTGAATAGATTAGATTGTACAACCTTTTATATTGTATAATTTAAAAAGTTAAAGTTACAACCTATATATCAAGGAGTCCTGTGCCCAGCAGTTATAATTTACTTTAAAAAAAAATGTCACGCTGGGCTTCTTGCTGGTTCTTTCCAGAATTTTTTTCTGATCCAGTGGTAATTTAAAAAAAATTACTCAATTGGAATTACATTTAATCTATCATATAATCTGTCTGCCTCCTCCTGCATTTGTGTCAACTGGTCTACTGGCTTACTGACACTGGTCAAGTAATTGTGTAAATTAGTGTAATCTAATATATAAAAATTAATGTTTGTTTGTTCATATTTTATAAGCTGCTATACCATTCATCAAATTGCTGTAAAACTTTGTCATCTTATTGCTTGCACTTACACAAAGGTTATAGGTATAATACAACTATCTTGCAGTAGGTGGTGTGTATATTATATTGATAAAATTTTAAAGTTATAGATCATTCATTTCAATGAATGTATTATCATTCCTAATTAATCAATATAACTTCTAAATTCAGAACAATATTTCCACAATTATTTTTTCTGCGGCACTCTGGTACCAGCTAGGATGAAATAAAAATGGTTAATATAACATTTAAAATTATAATTTATCACTTAAGTATTTTATCAACATTGATTTATTTATTGATTTGACACTACAAATAATGGTTTATCAATATTTGGTTTGCCTTTGTTTCAATATTCAACACTTGTCACATTGATCATACAAAATGCTGTCGTTTATTTTTTGTATTTTGTTTTGATGATGTAATAGTTAACACACAAAACTATTATATTGTATTAGATATCATAAGTGGATGTAATTTAACATAATTACATAAAATTTTTTAGATTTAAAGTTTCAGTCTAAAAAGTTGCACATTGTAAGTAAAAGTCTAAGTAAAAATTAATTGAAATTTTTTTTCTAAAGTAAGTGTTTCCTCAATATGTATTTATGAAACTTCAACGACAACATACATAAAAAACATATTGTTGAATTGTAACCCTCTCCTTTTTTGAACATGGCTAAAAGTAAAAGTGATGGAAATACAAACTTTATAAACTTTTTTTCAACTGACGTCAAAAAAAGGAGGAGATACTCAATACAACTCCTTTTTTATGTGTGTTACCTCAGAACTTTTTTCAAGGTGAACCAATTTCGATGATTCTTTTTTTATTTGGAAGCTGGTGCTTCTCATGTGGTCCCATATAAATTAGATCAAGATCTTGCCAGAAGTTTTTGAGTTATTCTTAATAGTGCATATTTAACTTGATGATGTTCTTATTTTATTTATATTTAAGTTGATTGTACAACATTTTTAATTTTACCACTTGTGTGGACTCATGTCCAACCTTATTACTTTTTAGCTATTTATATTTTGTCTTTTTTAAAAGTATCATTGTAAATATGATTTTTAGCAACCAGTTGAGGAGCAAACTAGCACATATCAACAGTATGAATTAAGTACCAATACTCAAGTGGAAGGGCAAGAATATGAGGTGGCCATCATTGAGAATCCAGGGGATACTAATGAGAGGTAATTTTGTCAATTATATCCATTTTATATTTTTTTTTCTACGTCCTATGATATACAGACTAATTCTGTAAATGTCTATCTCATCTGAGTGTCTTGGTCTGTCACATCTTGCCTTGAGGTATAGTCAGAGGTGACAACAAATTTGTTGCCTTCTATGTTTGGTGTTCATTAACTGCAGTAGGCACTTAACATAAGGCGGGCTGTATGTTTGTTTGTCACTTCAGTTATATAAAAAATTAGTTATATAAAAAACACACAGATTTACTCTCACTCTTCACGTTGAGCATATGGATCGGTCAATGCAGAGCATATACACTCCCACTCAGACCAAAAAAGAAATATAGAAGACAGTACATTTCAAGTGATGGTTAGTACACTCCATACACTATAGCCTTTGTAAAGTCCACTGTTGAACAGAGGCCTCCATAGATTGTCTCATATGCAAATATCCCCATCTTGGTCATAGTTGCTATGCTTGGCAGACAGTTTTATTGTTTTGAGGTGTTATCACTAGTTACTGCTGAACATAGGCCATCCCCATAGTTTGCCTTATAAGGGGGATAGATAAGAACCACATTATTTTAATTTTATAGTTGTTTTAGGAAGACACTACTGTCTATCTCTTAGTTTGTTTTCCTTTGTCACCTATTCTGACACCTATGAGACAATATGGGATAGTGGATATTCTTACACCGCCACAACACGCTCAGATAGTTTATTATTTGTGAAAGAAAACACTGCAAGGAAATTAAACTGGGAAATCATTATCATCACAATACTTCATAAGTCTACTGTTGAACATATCCCCCATATTTATATGTGGTAGAGCCATGCTGCAGCTACATTAGTAGTATAGTTGTAGCACATATGGGTTGGCTCGACCGGGGAAGGACCACGCTCTCACAGAATACCAGCGTAAAATAGCAGCTTAACACTGTTGTGTTTCGTATGGTGAGTGTAGAGAACCGGAGCCCCATTTTACTGAATAAGAGGCATTCCATCTTAGTCCTGACGAGTGACAACGCATCTGCATTTTGATTCACAAACGAGGATAGATGTAGATGTCTATGGGCCACAGCAACCACTTACCATCAGGTGGACTGTGTGCTCGTTTGTTACTCAATCCTATAAAAAAAATTCTACTAAACGTGGTTCAGAGCCACCTGCATCCATCAACTAACTACATGTTTTACTAGGATGTCACTCCATGTGGTGGGGGCAGCTCTTCACTCTATTTAGTGGTACAAGGCTGCCACTCAAAAGCTTTACTTCTCTTATTGGTTCATTGAGAATACAGGCAGCCCATTTATATCAAATATAAATGTCATATTTATTTTTGCTATTGTGTTGGATTTATAGGTCTACAGAGAATGAGGTGATATCAACGGAGGCTCAGTTGGTGGCAACAGGTCCCGGTGCAGTTCGTTGGCTGAACCAGAAGTATGACTTTGTTGTGAGAAAATTGCAGTTGAATTATGGTAAGATATTTGTAAATACATGAACACAATGCAATTCCTTGTTGTGACAATGTAGAGAATCCATCACTCCATTTTGCTGCAAAAATGCCGATTAGGATGAGAAATTGATGTATTCATCCATACACACTGCAAGTGTACAACCACATTGTCCAAAAGTTGCTAAATAATTGCAGATGTCATAGGTTGATTGCTTGTAGTTGCTAATTAAATACAAATAATTAATTCTCCAATCGCCTGTGCAAGCTTTTATACCTAATAAGAGAAATATAAATAATAAAATAGCGTTTAACAATATGTCCAATGGAGAAAAGGCTTTATGCTGATAGTGTTTGCAATTGCGTTTTGCTTGCATTAATTAGTAAAAGAATTTACTGTAAGACAGGTTTTTATACCTACATCAGGTACCAGTCTCTCACAAGTTAGGTACCAGTCTGGCAATTTTGTAATACTTAGCATTAAGTTTACCTGTTGTGAAGAGAAAATAAATTCATTCATTCATTCACTATGACACCTGCACATTTTATTAACCGGTTCAGTGCGGGTGACACGCCAGGCGTGCCATCGAATAATTTTGTGTGTGGCGTATGACACGCAAGTCGTGTCTTTTTAAAAATCGTTATAGCTCGCTCAAATTGCTTTTTTGAAAAATTTATCCAGAACAAAATATTCATTATTTTGCGAGTAGTTCATGCATGCAGCTTCGTTTCTGGATATTTTGAAAATTTGAAATTTTTAGGGGTTGACAACCTTTTTTTAACGTGTACATGGTACTATTTTTACTTTGTGGGTATTTTAAATCATGTTATGGAAAAATTGTCTAATAAGTAAGAAATAATAGCACTCATTGCGATCACTCACAAACTCAAGTTGTAAATAAATTTCTGGAAAACAAGTCTCCTGTTAAAAAAAACAATGCGTTTGTCTTATTGTTTAATTTTGCTTAAAATGGTTGAAATGCCGTCTTATTACTATCATATGGCCGAATAGACCTACGAAGTACCATGTGCTCTTGTGATATGGTATAAGGTTTATTTTTGCTTGAAACAGCTCGAAACCGTTCATGCATAAAAAAAGTTCGCTTTATTAGCGAACTTTTTTTATGCATGAACGGTTTTTTGTCAATCCGCCGTCGTATAGCGCCGGTATTTTTTTCCTTTTGAAAACACTTGTTTTGCTATTCTTACTAATTAGACGTTTTCAGATCGACCTTTACATTTGTATAACATTAAATAATATTTAACATTTGCAAATATTAATGAATGTATACCTTTTTTTTTTTTTCAAATTAAGGTTGTTCATTGTTTGATATTTACAAATGTTATTATTAGGTGAAAATTTAATTAAAAAAAACCAAGGTTTCCAGGGTGATTTAGCTGTACCTACTTATATAAATGATTTTTTTATAACAACAAAAAATAGTACAAAAGGTTTGTAATCTCTTCATAAAAAAAGTCACTTACTCTCAATTTCAAAGAAAACGCGTAAAAAAAACACGTAGTTACCAACTAAAAACAAGTATCCTTCCATTTGTAACTTATGTTTGATGTCAAATAAACTTAATTAGGTCTAAACAAGTAAAAAAAGCATAAAAAAGAACATTACTTTTACACATGGCGGATGTCTGTGGCGCTTGACACCCCAGGCGTGTCATGAAAAATTGGTGCCGCAACGAATCGGTTAATTTGAGAGAGTCCAATGTCGTTTTTGCCGTTTGCCATAAAATACAGAGCAACCTAGTCGTCTGTCGTTTCAAATTGACATTTGCTATCACGATAGAACATCGCGTCGAAGCAATTCAGAACTTATGTGGCCATGTGCATTCGGCATAGGTCGAAGACAAAGTATACTCGCAAGTATGTTTTCATGATGTGTGCAGCCCCAGCATTTGTTTGGAACAAGACTCTGACTGACTCAGACTGCAGACATCCATGGGCTACCATGGCAAGTTATCTTTGGTGGCTTGCAAGTTTGTTTCTTTGTCTAAATTCTTATTTAAAAGAACATATTGGGTAACTTTATATAGTTTGACCGTGTTATTGTGGTGTAAGAATATCCACTACCCTTTATCGTGCCGTGGGCGCCGAAAAGGGAAGCATACCAGCAGAAGTGCAGCAGTGTTCTTAATAATAACTAAGATATAAAAACTGCGGCTGCCAAGCATGGCAACTATGGCAAATAGTAATATCCTCCAGACCGAATTTCAGTCACGGCGGCAAGCCTCAATCTTGTCGATTATAGTGCCCAAGTGTACGCGAAAGCACAGGTGCACTCTCTATTCCCTCACTCTCATAGTCCGATGAGATGGTAAACCGAAATGACCAGAGAGAAATCAAGCACAGGACCAATGGCTTTACATGCTTTCAGAGGCATGGGGGTGAGACACCTCCAAGTTCCTGACTCCGGTCACTTACTAGGAATTTCTTTATAGAAAAACTCAATAACTTTTGTTTTTTGGCTCGACCCGGATATCGAACCTGGGACCTCATAATCAATAGTCATACTACTACAATCACTAGACCAATGAGGTAGTAAATATGGTAACTATACATGTATTTATGTCTATTGTATTTGTTCAATTACAGATGCCGGTGTGAAACTGATGTACTCACTATCCGGGTGCATCCAGTGCGTATATCTAACTACCCCCAGTATGCAGCTTGCGTTCAATGCAGTTCCTCAATTTCTCTGCATAGAAACAGGTGAGTTTAACCTTATAAATAAATGTTAAATATTTAGAACTTATTTGTTAGGGCTAACACTTTATTCACGAACTATTAAGTCCCTCACTAAGCAAGGAAAAACGCCACATATTACGGAAGAGATGTCATTTGTTAACGGGGACTTTTGCCCTGGAAAATGATGATTTATAAGTGGCGTAGCCTTTTCAAGCAAGGCAGAGACTCAATTGAATTTAAATTTATATGAGGTAGAGCCAAGGTGCAGCTGTATTTTGCAATAAGAATAGAATTTATTTACTTTTAAGGCTCCTTTTCTACCGTCTTCAAACAGGAGGAGGTACTCGACTTTGTTTTTTTTAATGTGTGTTACCTCATAACTTTTTTCTGGGTGAACCGATTTCGATGATTCTTTTTTTATTTGAAAGCTGATGCTTCACATGTGGTCGCATATAAATTTGATCAAGGTATGACCAATAGTTTTTGAGTTATTCTTAATAATTTACATAGAAGTCGGTTGTACTAAAATTTTAATTTTTAATTATTTGTCTAGAAGTCTGTCTACCACCCTTTTACCTATTTCTGACGCCAAATAGTAGTGCTTGCTGTGTTCCGGTCTGAAAGGTGTAACAGTATGGTTACAGCCTATGTGGCATTCCATCTTAGTCCTCAGAGGTGACAATGCATCTGTAGCCTTTTTTGTTTCAATTTGGCTTAGGTGTCCATGGAATGCAGTAGCCATACACCATCAGGTGTACTTTAAGTTTCTTCGTCACTTAAGTTTTATATAAAAAAAAAATTAAACAATAATCACTCCGACATTACGGATTTGGCGGATGGGGGCTAGGCGACGTAGTGTAGATGGCCTTGGAGGCTACAAGGAAGCAAGATATAATAATATCCATCTCCCTCGCACTTTTCCTTAGCTTGCCATGAAAGAAATATTATTTTATTTTAAATGACGCTTCATTTTAACAGACGCTAGTAATTCATTTATTTGTATTTGTTAATCAATAATATAATATATTTATCAATAATAATATACTACGAAAGGAAATTTGTTCCAACCAAGTGTTCCACGACCCTCACGCATGTTTTTTTTTTTATAGGATAAGGGTATCAAACAAGCGCACAGTCCACCTGATGGTAAGTGGTTGCTGTGGCCCATAGACATCTAGATCTATTCTCAATTACGAATCAAACTGCAGATGTGTTGTCACCCGTGAGGACTAAGATTGAATGCCTTGTTTCCAGTAAAAAGCATCTCCAGTTCCCTACAAATCAAAATAAATATATTCCTTTTATTTTTATAGGTATAGAGTTCAACAGCAGTATGTCGACTGTGAACGGTTCTGGTACATCCAGAATTAAGCACAATGTCACTCTGTTCCTTGCCGAGGATGGAAATGGGAAGTCTGTCATAGTTAGTGCTGGTATGTGATTTGTAATACTATAATGTCTCATTCGACATGGTAAATTTTATCATTTTATCACCTTATTTCTTCATTGTATAGAGATGTTATTAAAGCATAAACAATATATAAAAAAAAACCTAAAATACCCCTAATTTGGACTTTTTCTAAAAGCAATTTTGATTCTATTCTGATTTTCAGAAAACCTGAGTTTTGCATCTGCTTTGTTCTTAATAACGACTTTATTTTTATTAGGGATAGGGACGCCTTGTCATTCCCTATTCTTGCAGCACCTAATTAGCAATTAAGTGTAATTTTTTGATATTAATATTTATCGTATATCAATCATCGTCACTGCATTGCTAGCGATGCGTTTTGCTAGCTGCGCAAATTTTAACAGTTCGTTGCGGTGAAAATTTTAGACCACCTAATTTTTAAACTTGGCACCTAATTAGCACCTAAAATCCCCTAATTTTGGGTTATTCTAAACGTAAATTCCTGACTGCGTTGCTGGCGAGACACAGCTAATTTCTAAACAGTCATTTACTACAGTAATATTATCTGTTTGTAGAGTAAATTTATAAAACATCATTTCATTCTATCTTCAAATCCCATCAGTACCAATATCCGCTGAAGCGCTTGTGACCTCATAAGCGGGCGCTTTAAGTCGTTGATGGCGTGCGCGGAACATAAAAATATGTCATAGATAGTGAAGGTCGATTTAGTTATCGACTTTTATTTTGCGATTTATACGAGTACATAAACAAAAACAATGACAAAAATTGATGATGGGGACTACCAACATTTGCATAAACATAGTTGCATAAACTCGATTTTCGGAAATAAAAAGCTATTTATTATTATAATGTTGTATCTTTCGTTTAGGAAATCACGGCAAAGTAGGCGTTGGTTGCCGTACAGATCCAAAACAAAAATTTCCTTTTAGATATAACAATGAGTTGGGATTTATTTTATCCAAAGTTAAAGTTTAAATAATAAAAGAAAATAATTTTATTTAAGATCATTTTATCGCCTATTTTCACAAAACAAAAATAACGATTCAAAACATACCTCTATATTTCATCATTTCCAATTTACAAAAGTCTTGCTAAGTTGATACACGACCGCTATTTAGTGCCGAACTACATCGCTATAATTCTCTTTCAATCTACCTACATCATTATTTATTTTTAGTGGGTAGATAAACATCACTACGCGACGCGTAAACACGTCACTGGCGTCCGGTACATAACTTTAATGCTTCAGTTCTTGGGCATTCATTTTAAATGTTTATGCAATTGATTAGATAGTTTTTCCTACGTTCTCTGGTAAATATATCTTCAGCGCAGTCATGGTAAGATATTGGGTCAAAAATAAACTCTAATGAACAGTCATTACATTTTTTTCAATGGTAATCAAACAGCATTTTTAGACGTTTTAAGACGTCATCTGCGTCTCGAACATAATTTTGAATCACGTTTTGATGCATCGTTGGCGGTCAATGGGTTAATAACTTCAAATTTTTAGCAAATTGTAGTAAAAAACATGTAGGTATTTTAAATAACAATCATATTTTTGTATTCATTATAATTATGTTTGATAGGAGGAGGAGGAGGAGGGGGGGGGCATATAGTTGCCATGCAATTTTTTTTTATTCAGCTGTTATCAGGGAGATGCTGCTGCCCATTTCCTGATTCAAGTTCCCTCTGTCGCCTGTTACGCGACATTCACGAGATTGGGATGTTTTCTAGCAGAGCCTATTAAAACTGTCCGAATTTGCTTGAACTTAACAAACAAGTGATACGATTCGCGCTATAATTTTAATCCTCAGTTGATTTTTTCTGCCGACTTCCAAAAAGGAGCCGGTACTCAATTCGACTGTATGTTTTTTTTTTTTTTCGTTTTTTTTTTTTATGTGTGTTACCTCAGAACTTTTTTCTGGGTGAACCGATTTCGATGATTCTTTTTTTATTTGAAAGCTGGTACTTCTCGTGTGGTCCCATATGAATTTGATCAAGGTCAGACCAATAGTTTTTAAGTTATTCTTAAATAACTTATATTGAAGTCGGCTGTACAAAATTTTTAATTTTAAATTATTTAATAATAGTGTTATTGCATAACATGGGCCTTTCCCGTTGTACGGTGGATTTACCTGAAGCGTCATGCTTGACAGGCGGCTGGACATTGGCATTGGTATGACGTCTCGGAACCTCTGACGCTGCGTCTGGGTATTTTATGTTTAACGTAAACTAGGTGTTATACCGCCATCTATTTGGGCGGGCCATAAGATTTTTCTAGAATTTTCCATAGTCGCCTCTTTCGACACCCACGGGACTAAATTGGGCGACATTTCCTTGGTGCCGGCGAGGCGAGAACCCGGATTGCGGACCGCGAACTTTAAATTTACAGCGAGCGTTAAGCCCCTGAGCTACCACTTGGTCGGCGGTGAAGGAAAACATCGCGAGGAAAATGCTTGTCTGAGAAATTAAAAAATATATTTCGAAGATAGCCAACACGCTTTGGTGAAGCGCGGCGGACACTTCCTTGCAACACCACTCAAAATTTTGTTGCAAAAGGCTGTACATTACTTTACTTTTACCACCACATGGCAATGAGGGCTAATAATATTCTTCCATTCACCAGATGTCGCTAGTTGTGACTAAGGTAATATTTTTTGTTACATAATGTCAGTTAATTGAGAAATTAGTTTTGAATAATAGTTTATCATTATCTAGAGTATTATATTAATATACAATACAATGCGTCAGTGGTTTGATTTTTAGGTTTTTGCACTTTATATATCGTTTTATTAATTTTTCTAGTTTTAGTTATATTTATAGTTTGGATTATTCATTTCTAATCTAATTAATATAAAATATAACTAATGATACGGAAAGAAACCTTAAAATTTACATTTTCCTAAGAAATTATCGTACACACTATGAAATCTGTCAAATATTTTACCTCACTGTAAAGTGGCGCCGTCCTGGTGACAGAAAAAGTCGTAGATGCCCTCATTGAATTGCTATCTCATGGAATCTAAAAAAAACTAGCTGGGCTACTTAACTAGGCATTTTAATTTGCATGTTTTGTTTCGACATCAGGCATATCAACGCTGATTGGTGAGGATCTCACGTGGCTGCTGGATACCTTCAAGTCCTGCAATCCGGCATGGCGATTTTCGTCGTTCGACACAGTCGGCGGCCAGCTACCTCAAGGAAAACACCAAATATAGAAGAAAGAAAAATATCGCAGCGGTTTTATTCTCCACCAATCCAGCACACAAATGTGCCTGTAGGGCACAATAATAATTATTTTATGGAATTCACAAATCTTCAATTTACGCAATATTTAGTTTGTATGGATTGCACTACAGTTCAGTTGAACATAGTCTATGTTCGAAATGGCTTCACTAGTACGTAGTACATATAACTCAATGATTTCTACATTGTAAATTCCAATTTGAAAAAGCTAATGTATAAATTAAACATTTACAGATAACCTGACGAAATCGGATACTACTCTAAGAATTAGAAGTTGTTACAAAAGCATGCGAGAAAACTTAAATTTCAATTAAAGAAGTCTAGAAAAACTATAAAAGATTTTAGGACTCGTCTATCAAATGCAGAATAAATGAGTAATCAAGTAGCATTTGAGAAGATCACCGAAAAGATGACATTTGCAGCGAAGGTTTTGTTATAGCTGTTTAGAATCATTTATTGTAAAAAATATTATTTTTGTACTTTGTTTTGTTATAACTGTTAAGAATCGTATCTCATAAAAAATATTTTCATAGTTTGTATTGTGAAAGCTGTTAAGAATAACTTATTATAGAAATATTGGTTTCATAATTTGTATTGTCTAAGTTGTTAAGAATCATTTATTGTTAAAATATTAGTTTCATACTTTGTATTGCGAATGCTGTGTTATATGAATCGTTTATTGTAAAAATGTTAGTTTGTGTGTGGCGCAGTAAGAATATCCACCAGTCCATATCATCCCGTGTGTGCCTTAAGAGGCGACAGAGGGAAACAAATCAGAAGATGGACAGCAGTTTCTTCATAATAACAACTAAATTTAAAAGCTGCGGTTGGCATGCCGCTTGCCAAGCATTTCAACTATGGTAAATATCTCTTCTATGAGGCGATTGTCGAAGCCGTGTCACATGAATCACTTATTTAATTATACAAATATTTCATATTTTCTATTGTCAAAGCTGTTATGAATAACAAGGGGCCAAGCCCTCTTTTTATTTTTCGCCAGTTACTTTGCTGTGGACTACGGTCTATTCACAACTTCTAGTTCCTTTTCGGGCGGAACGCGTTGGGTGGTTGGCGCTCACCGCACACGGCGTTGGCGTCTGTGAAGCCCTGTGCCTCCCCCACATTTTTTTAAAATGTGTGTGAGCAAAGTCCTTGTATCTGGTGTTTTAATATAAATATTGTAAGCCTTTTCCAAGCGGGAAGGTATTAATTAATAATGAATAACGGCCTATACCTAGACCTTTAGAAAGATCCATATATTGATTATTTGATCGCGTATATTATTCATTTTAATATAGTTATATTTTATAGATGGCCATTGTATATATACAATAGAAGGGGCAGGGTTATTATAAAAATATTTCTTATTTTGTACTATCAAAGTTGTGTTTATGAATCATTTATGAAAAAATGTTATTTTCATATTTTGTCTTGTGAAAATTTATCGTTAGAAACATTAGTTGTTTTTTTATAGGAGAGGGGGCAAACGAGCATGCGGCTCACCTGATGGTAAGTGACTACCGCCGCCCATGAACAACTGCAACACCAGGGGAATTGCAGATGCGTTGCCAGCTTTTTAAAAATGAGTAGGCTGTTTTCTCGAAGGTAAGTAAGTCGTATCGGTCCGGAAAAATCGCTGGTGGTAATCGATTCCAGAAGGAAGTTGTGCGAGGAAGAAACATCTTCTAAATCGCACAGTGCTGGACCGCCAATCATCGGTGCGAAGAGCCGAGAGGGGCATCGACGGAAACCTAATATCCGTCCGGATGAGAGGTCAGCAGAAGGTCAAACAGGGAAGGTGTATGATCCTCCACATCTGGAATCCGCGTAGGCGAAGTAACCAGTTGTGTCAGACCATATGCCAAGGCATTTAATATTTTTTCAGTTTAATATTTTGTTATATCAAAGCTGTGTTTATGAATAATTTATTGTAAAAAATATTATTTTCATATTTTGTGAAAATTTATTGTTAAAGACATTAGTTTAATATTTTGTTATAATAAATCTGTGTTTACGAAGCATTTATTGTAAAATACTTACTTACTTACTTATCTTCACGCACAATCCCTGACGGGGTAGCCAGAGAGCACAGATCGCCAAGTGTCACGATCCTTACAAACCTCTTTCGCTTCTTTCAGATTCATTATCTTCTTCATGCATGCACGTCTAGGTATCCGAGTACTCTTGACCCTACCCTCTTCGAGCAATTTGCTCACATGGTCTTCGAAAGTTAGTCTCGGTCTACCTCGACACCTTTTAATATTAACTTTCGCGCTATATATTTTCTTCACCATTCGATCTTCACTCATTCGCTCAACGTGCCCAAACCACCGAAGCACGCCCTTATCAATTTTTGTGATAAGGTCATCTTTCAAACCTGACATATTGCGAATCTCTTCGTTTCGCTTTCGGTCGGCCATGGTAACGCCGCACATTTTACGAAGAGATCGCATCTCCACTGCATTCAACTTACTTTTATGCTTCTTCTGGCATACCCAGGTTTCGCTGCCATATAACAAAGTCGGTACCAACACTGCGTTATGTATTGCCAGGCGTGCACTCTTCGCTACGCCTTGCCTTTTGACTAACGCAGTCAGGGCACCATTGACTTTGTTCCCGGCAGCGACACGCCTGTCCACATCTAAATCACATCTTCCATCCCGGCTAAAAGCACTCCCCAAGTATACAATTTCATTTACCTGTTCTAGACATTCCTGATTTACCCATATTTCACACTTCGTTCTCTCTTCGTCCCTTTCAAATACCAGAACCTTAGTTTTATTAGCATTCAAACGGAGACCTTTAATTTCACATTCCTCTTTCATACACGTGACTAATGCCTGCAGTTCTGCCTCTGATGGTGCAATAAGCACTGCATCATCAGCATACAGCAGACAATTTACTTTTATGTCACCCAATTTCACACCCAAACAGCTATCTTTCAGCTTCTGTAAACAGCTGTCGAGATACAGTATGAACAGCCAGGAAGACATGACACAACCCTGCTTTACGCCCGTTTGGACGTTAAACATGGGTGACAGGTCATGCCCTACCCGCACACAGGCTTTACAGTCACAGTAAAGAGACTGTACAGCCCTTAGCAATCGACCATCCACACCATACCCCGGCAACAGTTCCCACATTTTCTTCCTTACAACCTTATCAAATGCTTTCTCAAGATCCACAAAAGCACAGAAAATCTTCTGGTTAGCAGCCAGAAGCTTCTCCGTGATCATGCGGAGAGAAAACATTTGATCCGTGCATCCTCTTCCAGGTCTAAATCCGCATTGTGCCTCCCATAGAAATCTTTCCGATTTCAAAAATATAGAATAATGTACCAATTATTTGTGTTTAATTTCATTCATGTTAAAAATATCATAGTTAATTCCTATTTACAAATTATGAATCACACTTTATGTATTAGGATTAATTATTAACAACCGACTGTTAAATTAAACATTTGAAGCATTTAGTTACTATGCAGTTATCTTTAAAAAATGTTTCAAATGTTTAATTCACAGTTGGTTGTTGATAATTAATCCTAGTACATAAAGCCGTAAAGCGTAATGAATGACCATGAACATGAACAGAGGTGTATGTGTTATACGCACGCACACATTCTCACAATATTGTGGCGAAACGACACCAGACGGCGCTAGTACTCCTCGTTTGACAGATTACGCACGAGTGGGCTCTCTTTTTCCTGTATAGGACAGAGCTTCGTAATGTTAGCAAGTCCAAAAATTAGAATTATACGAGGTTTTACAGGGACATGTAGAATCGTTTGCTCATTAAGAATAAACGAAAAAAATAATTATTCGTGTCACCCCTGCAGATTTACGACCCTTCGAAGACGCTTGCTAGAAATTTTATAAAATAGTCATTTTTTAATGGTTTTAAGGCACCAAAGTGAAAATATTCATGCACAGAACGTTTGCGCGTTATTTTCTCGTTCCAGAAGTATAATTACTTTCTCAGAAAAATGCATAATAACTGATTTTCACGATATCATTATTTTTCGCACCCCCAGCCTACGCAAGCATGCGAGTCTGCAATTGCGCGGCGCGCGTCACGCAGCGCACTGTGGCCTGTGGGAAGTATCAAATGTGAAATCAACTTATTGTTTACACTCACAATCCAGGGTTTTCTGTCTCATCAATTTGACAGTTGGATACCAGGCTCACTACACGATTGAGATCTCGTACAATGAAAGCGTAATTAGAAATTCTTAACAACTTATTGCTTCAGAGTGTAGAGCAAAACAATGCAGCTCCAATATCAAATCAGGATCTAAATCATTCTTGTATTTACAGAGGTACCAAGCCACGCAATACAACTTTTATTTATTTTATTTATTATAGAGTCTATTTGGAAAATCATTTAACTAAATATTTGTTCTTTCTGATACAACAAAATTTCATGGTCAAAGATGAAACTGTCCTTCATAATATTCCATACATGGGTGATGAGATCCTTGATCAAGATGGGACCTTTATCGAAAAATTAATAAAAAATTATGATGATAAAGTACATGGGGAGCGTGAGTCAGGATTTATGGATCACTCTATTTTTGTGGATCTTGTAAAGGCGTTAGTTTCCTATGAAAAGGATGACAAAGAAAAAGATACAAATCCTACAAAGAATTTCAAAGAATCAAAAGACGAAGATGAAAAAGAAGATTCTTACAGTACAACTTTTTTATAGTAAATATAACTTTTTTGAAATTTCTTTTAAAATATCTAGTCGACTAGATTTTCATGTTACTTTATGTTTGTAGGCAGTATCTCAAATGTTTCCTAACAAAGGAAAACCAGAAGAATTAAAAGAAAAGTACGTTGAACTGACAGAAAGGTCTGATCTAAATGCTCTACCTCCACAATGTACTCCAAATATCGATGGTGCTACTATAAATAATGCTAATTATAAATTAATAATAAACATTGTTCTATATGATACGTTCTCGTTAAACTTTTTTGATCGCACATATTGATATCAATCTGTACAATATGATCATGGAATAAATTTGTTCTTCTACTCAACATTTCAATTATTATTATTTTATTATAATTTTTTTCAATTAGATCATCTTTATCTAAATTAAAATAAACGTTGGTTTTTATATTATTTTCATTAATTCTCATAAATTAGATAATTAGATATCAATATATTGTATTTGGTATATATTTCCAGACTTTGAATGACAGTTGTCGGAATTTTACCTAGAGTATAATTAAGTATGCTATTCTTCTGCTAATCATTGAAGTTTTTTATTAGCTGTTTTTAATTACATTTAGTTTACATTCGAATTTCTTACATATAAAATTGAGCTTATTTTAATACTTGTCTTTATAGAGCACTTTTCATTTTTTCTCAGACGCTGATCATCTCTATAATCCCATTCACCATTATTTTTCCTACAATACGCAGTGTAATGGCCCAAGCCACCAATTGAAGGTGGAGGAGTGAACCTTATAACTCCACATAAAATAAAATTTATGTCATTAATTACAATATTTTCTGGTATATCTTCTACTTTAGTGAAAACTTCAGATGTGTTTTTGCCAATAGATTTTGCATAGGTAGAATCTTGATATGCAGTATCTACTTCAATCAACAGGTAAGGTCCCATGATGTAGTTGGTATCTCTCTGGTTTTTACATTTTTTGCAAAGATATCTAATTTGAAACTTTTCAGTGAGTGAAGCTGCCAAATTTTTATAATTTTTATCCCAGACAACATGAAGATCAGGAAGAACAGTTGTAATCTCACTTGATTCAATGGGATTGCTATCATCATTCTTGCAATTCAAACAGGTTTTTATAATTTTCATATTTTGATATTGACTCATTATTCTGTTGAATAAATGATTAACATTTATTCGGCAGTCAATAGAGCTGGTATTATTACACTGTTCTGGATATAAGGCTTTCAAAACATATCCTCTGTTGACGTATATGGTACTGTCTGGGCCATTAACTGAATAATTGTGCAAAAATTCCATGTAACTTGAATTTTGTATTTTGAATTTTGTATTCTGTTCATTCTTATCTTTTGGAAGATTTGCATTCACAAATGAATGAAAGGATTCAAATTCAGAGTAAGCATTACTTAAAAGCTCTGAAATGCTATCAAAAGCACAAGTTTGTTGAAAATATAATTTTACGTCATTTACAAGCACAGCAGACAAACTATTACCATTTCTTAAAATACCTTTTCCTCTTTATCTTTTAATGTTTTTTGGTTTTTGAATACTGAATATACTGAGCAGTTATGTTTAAGGAATAATTAAATGTACATAGCTTTGTCATCTTTGTTGATAAACCTAACTCAACTTACTCCAACGAATAGTGTTGAGTTTATCCAACCTTTTTTAGCCTTATTAATGTCAGATTTAGCAGTATGAAACCCTTTATTTAAAAATTTTGTGACTAAGCAAGTTTCTTGAAAAGGTTACTAGAATGCAGCATACTTTTAAGTTTGTCACAGTTTATTAAGTCCAACCACTTGTTTCTTTGGCCTTCGTCAGACTCTTTTCTGTTACTTGCACAATTGGGAATGAAACACTTAAAAATACATTTTAAAACTAAAAATTATATACAAAATACGCTAAAGCTATAAAGAAAACGTCCCGTCGAAATATATAACCTATTAAACAATAAACACCCTTTCGTAAAATGGCAGTAAAATGCCAATAAAACTTTATTTATAATTTATAGTTAGTTCATACTTCATAGAAAAACAAAATAAAAATTTCCAAGAAAACTTCTAACTTGACAGCTACGCGACAATAACATGACATGACAAAATGGCGGAAGCGGGAAGGGGCAAGAGGTGGGAGGGACGAGGGAAACGTCATGTTCTGGATTGCTCACTGCATTCCTACACACAAAAAAATATAAAATGTATAATAAACATTGAAAAGCAACAAGCCAAAAAATGATGATTAGGACAATACTTACAGAAGATTTATAGAATATTGATAACAGCTCTAAATATTTTCTCCAATAATTAAATGTAAGCTACTAGAGGTGCACACAAAACCAATGGCTTTATTGTAAACTTGTTGTCACGATACTTGATTTTGAATGAAACGCCAATTGAATACGCCCGATTAATTAAAACTCGATTAAAATGGGGAATCTAATTACGCTTTCATTGTACGAGATCTCAATCGTGTAGTGAGCCTGGTATCCAACTGTCAAATTGATGAGACAGAAAACCCTGGATTGTGAGTGTAAACAATAAGTTGATTTCACATTTGATACTTCCCACAGGCCACAGTGCGCTGCGTGACGCGCGCCGCGCAATTGCAGACTCGCATGCTTGCGTAGGCTGGGGGTGCGAAAAATAATGATATCGTGAAAATCAGTTATTATGCATTTTTCTGAGAAAGTAATTATACTTCTGGAACGAGAAAATAACGCGCAAACGTTCTGTGCATGAATATTTTCACTTTGGTGCCTTAAAACCATTAAAAAATGACTATTTTATAAAATTTCTAGCAAGCGTCTTCGAAGGGTCGTAAATCTGCAGGGGTGACACGAATAATTATTTTTTTCGTTTATTCTTAATGAGCAAACGATTCTACATGTCCCTGTAAAACCTCGTCTAATTCTAATTTTTGGACTTGCTAACATTACGAAGCTATAGGACAGTTATTATCACAGAATACTTTACTCCTAGCGGAGACTCCACAGAGTACCTTTATATTATACTCTTTGGGGTACATGTATTCTGTGGGCTGCAATGGCGTCTTTGTGAGTTGTTTTTTCGCACCAAATTTTCTCAATTTAATGTTTTGAATACAGAAATTAATGTTTACGTGTTGGATTTAAGGTGCCTTCTGTAAAACTGTTAGTTTTTTCATAATTTTAAGTTGTTTCAACGTATGTTTTAAATACCATGTTTTGTACTGGGCGAGGCGATTTTGTTAATGTGTCCTTAATCGCTCAAAAATACACAAACTACGCGTTTAAAAGCATTTAACGTGTGTATTAATCCAATAAGTTGTTTTAAAGAGCAAAAATGGACAAGAAAAATAAAAAGAGGACTGTTATTAAGCGGAAAAGTGACGATCCTGTTGAGAGTGAAAAGAAAAAAATCATGGTGAATAGAAAAGTTGAAGAAGATAAGGACAAAGTTGAGGTTGTGAATCAAGTGGTGGAGGTTCCTGCAGAGCAGGGTCAACAAATCGTTCACACGGGTCAGTTGGTGGAAGGCAATTTCGAGCAGCCGGTATTTGTAAATATGAAAGGAGAACCTGTTCAGTTAGGGCCAAATACGGTCATCTTATATGAACAGAGTGGGAATCCTTCAAATTTTGCGTTTGGCGGTATGTGGACAATGGACTCCTCGGGTAGGATCGTTATGGCAGAGACTATTTATGACGTCAAAGGAGAACCCGATGAAGAGACCGGTACTTTCGTTCAGAATACTACTGAAGTTAGTAGTGTAAGTAAAATTTATTTATGTTGATTTATAATAATGAGTGGTGAAGAGGGGAGAGAATGGTCAAATCCTACAATCGATTTTGAGTGGGGTGAGAACCTTTAGTATTTGAGAAAAAAAAAAACATTATTTATTAATGTGGTAAGCATTTCTTAGTATGCCTTTGTGTGAAAGCAAGAACAAAAGTAGGTGTAAGGTTTAGAGCCCAATCCCCATGTGCAGGAATTAAATTTTCGTGGCTTTAGGGTGCCCCAAGCGCCTCAACCTACTTCTATGATGTTACTTCATAGGTGCTAACACATTTTAAGTGACTTAAATAAAGGAGGAGCTTTCTAAATTGTGCAGTTAAGTATGATTCCATTCAAATCATTAGACTTCATAAGTCATTCATCTCATTTCAATGACAGACCCATATATTTGTAAATAATGTCACCAACAAATGAAAGTAGTGGTTCATTTGTCTTATCTTGACTTAGCAATTATGAGGTGGTTGCTTCCAAGCTGTTTATAAAATAAATTTTGTGAATAGATTAGATTGTACAACCTTTTATATTGTATAATTTAAAAAGTTAAAGTTACAACCTATATATCAAGGAGTCCTGTGCCCAGCAGTTATAATTTACTTTAAAAAAAAATGTCACGCTGGGCTTCTTGCTGGTTCTTTCCAGAATTTTTTTCTGATCCAGTGGTAATTTAAAAAAAATTACTCAATTGGAATTACATTTAATCTATCATATAATCTGTCTGCCTCCTCCTGCATTTGTGTCAACTGGTCTACTGGCTTACTGACACTGGTCAAGTAATTGTGTAAATTAGTGTAATCTAATATATAAAAATTAATGTTTGTTTGTTCATATTTTATAAGCTGCTATACCATTCATCAAATTGCTGTAAAACTTTGTCATCTTATTGCTTGCACTTACACAAAGGTTATAGGTATAATACAACTATCTTGCAGTAGGTGGTGTGTATATTATATTGATAAAATTTTAAAGTTATAGATCATTCATTTCAATGAATGTATTATCATTCCTAATTAATCAATATAACTTCTAAATTCAGAACAATATTTCCACAATTATTTTTTCTGCGGCACTCTGGTACCAGCTAGGATGAAATAAAAATGGTTAATATAACATTTAAAATTATAATTTATCACTTAAGTATTTTATCAACATTGATTTATTTATTGATTTGACACTACAAATAATGGTTTATCAATATTTGGTTTGCCTTTGTTTCAATATTCAACACTTGTCACATTGATCATACAAAATGCTGTCGTTTATTTTTTGTATTTTGTTTTGATGATGTAATAGTTAACACACAAAACTATTATATTGTATTAGATATCATAAGTGGATGTAATTTAACATAATTACATAAAATTTTTTAGATTTAAAGTTTCAGTCTAAAAAGTTGCACATTGTAAGTAAAAGTCTAAGTAAAAATTAATTGAAATTTTTTTTCTAAAGTAAGTGTTTCCTCAATATGTATTTATGAAACTTCAACGACAACATACATAAAAAACATATTGTTGAATTGTAACCCTCTCCTTTTTTGAACATGGCTAAAAGTAAAAGTGATGGAAATACAAACTTTATAAACTTTTTTTCAACTGACGTCAAAAAAAGGAGGAGATACTCAATACAACTCCTTTTTTATGTGTGTTACCTCAGAACTTTTTTCAAGGTGAACCAATTTCGATGATTCTTTTTTTATTTGGAAGCTGGTGCTTCTCATGTGGTCCCATATAAATTAGATCAAGATCTTGCCAGAAGTTTTTGAGTTATTCTTAATAGTGCATATTTAACTTGATGATGTTCTTATTTTATTTATATTTAAGTTGATTGTACAACATTTTTAATTTTACCACTTGTGTGGACTCATGTCCAACCTTATTACTTTTTAGCTATTTATATTTTGTCTTTTTTAAAAGTATCATTGTAAATATGATTTTTAGCAACCAGTTGAGGAGCAAACTAGCACATATCAACAGTATGAATTAAGTACCAATACTCAAGTGGAAGGGCAAGAATATGAGGTGGCCATCATTGAGAATCCAGGGGATACTAATGAGAGGTAATTTTGTCAATTATATCCATTTTATATTTTTTTTTCTACGTCCTATGATATACAGACTAATTCTGTAAATGTCTATCTCATCTGAGTGTCTTGGTCTGTCACATCTTGCCTTGAGGTATAGTCAGAGGTGACAACAAATTTGTTGCCTTCTATGTTTGGTGTTCATTAACTGCAGTAGGCACTTAACATAAGGCGGGCTGTATGTTTGTTTGTCACTTCAGTTATATAAAAAATTAGTTATATAAAAAACACACAGATTTACTCTCACTCTTCACGTTGAGCATATGGATCGGTCAATGCAGAGCATATACACTCCCACTCAGACCAAAAAAGAAATATAGAAGACAGTACATTTCAAGTGATGGTTAGTACACTCCATACACTATAGCCTTTGTAAAGTCCACTGTTGAACAGAGGCCTCCATAGATTGTCTCATATGCAAATATCCCCATCTTGGTCATAGTTGCTATGCTTGGCAGACAGTTTTATTGTTTTGAGGTGTTATCACTAGTTACTGCTGAACATAGGCCATCCCCATAGTTTGCCTTATAAGGGGGATAGATAAGAACCACATTATTTTAATTTTATAGTTGTTTTAGGAAGACACTACTGTCTATCTCTTAGTTTGTTTTCCTTTGTCACCTATTCTGACACCTATGAGACAATATGGGATAGTGGATATTCTTACACCGCCACAACACGCTCAGATAGTTTATTATTTGTGAAAGAAAACACTGCAAGGAAATTAAACTGGGAAATCATTATCATCACAATACTTCATAAGTCTACTGTTGAACATATCCCCCATATTTATATGTGGTAGAGCCATGCTGCAGCTACATTAGTAGTATAGTTGTAGCACATATGGGTTGGCTCGACCGGGGAAGGACCACGCTCTCACAGAATACCAGCGTAAAATAGCAGCTTAACACTGTTGTGTTTCGTATGGTGAGTGTAGAGAACCGGAGCCCCATTTTACTGAATAAGAGGCATTCCATCTTAGTCCTGACGAGTGACAACGCATCTGCATTTTGATTCACAAACGAGGATAGATGTAGATGTCTATGGGCCACAGCAACCACTTACCATCAGGTGGACTGTGTGCTCGTTTGTTACTCAATCCTATAAAAAAAATTCTACTAAACGTGGTTCAGAGCCACCTGCATCCATCAACTAACTACATGTTTTACTAGGATGTCACTCCATGTGGTGGGGGCAGCTCTTCACTCTATTTAGTGGTACAAGGCTGCCACTCAAAAGCTTTACTTCTCTTATTGGTTCATTGAGAATACAGGCAGCCCATTTATATCAAATATAAATGTCATATTTATTTTTGCTATTGTGTTGGATTTATAGGTCTACAGAGAATGAGGTGATATCAACGGAGGCTCAGTTGGTGGCAACAGGTCCCGGTGCAGTTCGTTGGCTGAACCAGAAGTATGACTTTGTTGTGAGAAAATTGCAGTTGAATTATGGTAAGATATTTGTAAATACATGAACACAATGCAATTCCTTGTTGTGACAATGTAGAGAATCCATCACTCCATTTTGCTGCAAAAATGCCGATTAGGATGAGAAATTGATGTATTCATCCATACACACTGCAAGTGTACAACCACATTGTCCAAAAGTTGCTAAATAATTGCAGATGTCATAGGTTGATTGCTTGTAGTTGCTAATTAAATACAAATAATTAATTCTCCAATCGCCTGTGCAAGCTTTTATACCTAATAAGAGAAATATAAATAATAAAATAGCGTTTAACAATATGTCCAATGGAGAAAAGGCTTTATGCTGATAGTGTTTGCAATTGCGTTTTGCTTGCATTAATTAGTAAAAGAATTTACTGTAAGACAGGTTTTTATACCTACATCAGGTACCAGTCTCTCACAAGTTAGGTACCAGTCTGGCAATTTTGTAATACTTAGCATTAAGTTTACCTGTTGTGAAGAGAAAATAAATTCATTCATTCATTCACTATGACACCTGCACATTTTATTAACCGGTTCAGTGCGGGTGACACGCCAGGCGTGCCATCGAATAATTTTGTGTGTGGCGTATGACACGCAAGTCGTGTCTTTTTAAAAATCGTTATAGCTCGCTCAAATTGCTTTTTTGAAAAATTTATCCAGAACAAAATATTCATTATTTTGCGAGTAGTTCATGCATGCAGCTTCGTTTCTGGATATTTTGAAAATTTGAAATTTTTAGGGGTTGACAACCTTTTTTTAACGTGTACATGGTACTATTTTTACTTTGTGGGTATTTTAAATCATGTTATGGAAAAATTGTCTAATAAGTAAGAAATAATAGCACTCATTGCGATCACTCACAAACTCAAGTTGTAAATAAATTTCTGGAAAACAAGTCTCCTGTTAAAAAAAACAATGCGTTTGTCTTATTGTTTAATTTTGCTTAAAATGGTTGAAATGCCGTCTTATTACTATCATATGGCCGAATAGACCTACGAAGTACCATGTGCTCTTGTGATATGGTATAAGGTTTATTTTTGCTTGAAACAGCTCGAAACCGTTCATGCATAAAAAAAGTTCGCTTTATTAGCGAACTTTTTTTATGCATGAACGGTTTTTTGTCAATCCGCCGTCGTATAGCGCCGGTATTTTTTTCCTTTTGAAAACACTTGTTTTGCTATTCTTACTAATTAGACGTTTTCAGATCGACTTTTACATTTGTATAACATTAAATAATATTTAACATTTGCAAATATTAATGAATGTATACCTTTTTTTTTTTTTCAAATTAAGGTTGTTCATTGTTTGATATTTACAAATGTTATTATTAGGTGAAAATTTAATTAAAAAAAACCAAGGTTTCCAGGGTGATTTAGGTGTACCTACTTATATAAATGATTTTTTTATAACAACAAAAAATAGTACAAAAGGTTTGTAATCTCTTCATAAAAAAAGTCACTTACTCTCAATTTCAAAGAAAACGCGTAAAAAAAACACGTAGTTACCAACTAAAAACAAGTATCCTTCCATTTGTAACTTATGTTTGATGTCAAATAAACTTAATTAGGTCTAAACAAGTAAAAAAAGCATAAAAAAGAACATTACTTTTACACATGGCGGATGTCTGTGGCGCTTGACACCCCAGGCGTGTCATGAAAAATTGGTGCCGCAACGAATCGGTTAATTTGAGAGAGTCCAATGTCGTTTTTGCCGTTTGCCATAAAATACAGAGCAACCTAGTCGTCTGTCGTTTCAAATTGACATTTGCTATCACGATAGAACATCGCGTCGAAGCAATTCAGAACTTATGTGGCCATGTGCATTCGGCATAGGTCGAAGACAAAGTATACTCGCAAGTATGTTTTCATGATGTGTGCAGCCCCAGCATTTGTTTGGAACAAGACTCTGACTGACTCAGACTGCAGACATCCATGGGCTACCATGGCAAGTTATCTTTGGTGGCTTGCAAGTTTGTTTCTTTGTCTAAATTCTTATTTAAAAGAACATATTGGGTAACTTTATATAGTTTGACCGTGTTATTGTGGTGTAAGAATATCCACTACCCTTTATCGTGCCGTGGGCGCCGAAAAGGGAAGCATACCAGCAGAAGTGCAGCAGTGTTCTTAATAATAACTAAGATATAAAAACTGCGGCTGCCAAGCATGGCAACTATGGCAAATAGTAATATCCTCCAGACCGAATTTCAGTCACGGCGGCAAGCCTCAATCTTGTCGATTATAGTGCCCAAGTGTACGCGAAAGCACAGGTGCACTCTCTATTCCCTCACTCTCATAGTCCGATGAGATGGTAAACCGAAATGACCAGAGAGAAATCAAGCACAGGACCAATGGCTTTACATGCTTTCAGAGGCATGGGGGTGAGACACCTCCAAGTTCCTGACTCCGGTCACTTACTAGGAATTTCTTTATAGAAAAACTCAATAACTTTTGTTTTTTGGCTCGACCCGGATATCGAACCTGGGACCTCATAATCAATAGTCATACTACTACAATCACTAGACCAATGAGGTAGTAAATATGGTAACTATACATGTATTTATGTCTATTGTATTTGTTCAATTACAGATGCCGGTGTGAAACTGATGTACTCACTATCCGGGTGCATCCAGTGCGTATATCTAACTACCCCCAGTATGCAGCTTGCGTTCAATGCAGTTCCTCAATTTCTCTGCATAGAAACAGGTGAGTTTAACCTTATAAATAAATGTTAAATATTTAGAACTTATTTGTTAGGGCTAACACTTTATTCACGAACTATTAAGTCCCTCACTAAGCAAGGAAAAACGCCACATATTACGGAAGAGATGTCATTTGTTAACGGGGACTTTTGCCCTGGAAAATGATGATTTATAAGTGGCGTAGCCTTTTCAAGCAAGGCAGAGACTCAATTGAATTTAAATTTATATGAGGTAGAGCCAAGGTGCAGCTGTATTTTGCAATAAGAATAGAATTTATTTACTTTTAAGGCTCCTTTTCTACCGTCTTCAAACAGGAGGAGGTACTCGACTTTGTTTTTTTTAATGTGTGTTACCTCATAACTTTTTTCTGGGTGAACCGATTTCGATGATTCTTTTTTTATTTGAAAGCTGATGCTTCACATGTGGTCGCATATAAATTTGATCAAGGTATGACCAATAGTTTTTGAGTTATTCTTAATAATTTACATAGAAGTCGGTTGTACTAAAATTTTAATTTTTAATTATTTGTCTAGAAGTCTGTCTACCACCCTTTTACCTATTTCTGACGCCAAATAGTAGTGCTTGCTGTGTTCCGGTCTGAAAGGTGTAACAGTATGGTTACAGCCTATGTGGCATTCCATCTTAGTCCTCAGAGGTGACAATGCATCTGTAGCCTTTTTTGTTTCAATTTGGCTTAGGTGTCCATGGAATGCAGTAGCCATACACCATCAGGTGTACTTTAAGTTTCTTCGTCACTTAAGTTTTATATAAAAAAAAAATTAAACAATAATCACTCCGACATTACGGATTTGGCGGATGGGGGCTAGGCGACGTAGTGTAGATGGCCTTGGAGGCTACAAGGAAGCAAGATATAATAATATCCATCTCCCTCGCACTTTTCCTTAGCTTGCCATGAAAGAAATATTATTTTATTTTAAATGACGCTTCATTTTAACAGACGCTAGTAATTCATTTATTTGTATTTGTTAATCAATAATATAATATATTTATCAATAATAATATACTACGAAAGGAAATTTGTTCCAACCAAGTGTTCCACGACCCTCACGCATGTTTTTTTTTTTATAGGATAAGGGTATCAAACAAGCGCACAGTCCACCTGATGGTAAGTGGTTGCTGTGGCCCATAGACATCTAGATCTATTCTCAATTACGAATCAAACTGCAGATGTGTTGTCACCCGTGAGGACTAAGATTGAATGCCTTGTTTCCAGTAAAAAGCATCTCCAGTTCCCTACAAATCAAAATAAATATATTCCTTTTATTTTTATAGGTATAGAGTTCAACAGCAGTATGTCGACTGTGAACGGTTCTGGTACATCCAGAATTAAGCACAATGTCACTCTGTTCCTTGCCGAGGATGGAAATGGGAAGTCTGTCATAGTTAGTGCTGGTATGTGATTTGTAATACTATAATGTCTCATTCGACATGGTAAATTTTATCATTTTATCACCTTATTTCTTCATTGTATAGAGATGTTATTAAAGCATAAACAATATATAAAAAAAAACCTAAAATACCCCTAATTTGGACTTTTTCTAAAAGCAATTTTGATTCTATTCTGATTTTCAGAAAACCTGAGTTTTGCATCTGCTTTGTTCTTAATAACGACTTTATTTTTATTAGGGATAGGGACGCCTTGTCATTCTCTATTCTTGCAGCACCTAATTAGCAATTAAGTGTAATTTTTTGATATTAATATTTATCGTATATCAATCATCGTCACTGCATTGCTAGCGATGCGTTTTGCTAGCTGCGCAAATTTTAACAGTTCGTTGCGGTGAAAATTTTAGACCACCTAATTTTTAAACTTGGCACCTAATTAGCACCTAAAATCCCCTAATTTTGGGTTATTCTAAACGTAAATTCCTGACTGCGTTGCTGGCGAGACACAGCTAATTTCTAAACAGTCATTTACTACAGTAATATTATCTGTTTGTAGAGTAAATTTATAAAACATCATTTCATTCTATCTTCAAATCCCATCAGTACCAATATCCGCTGAAGCGCTTGTGACCTCATAAGCGGGCGCTTTAAGTCGTTGATGGCGTGCGCGGAACATAAAAATATGTCATAGATAGTGAAGGTCGATTTAGTTATCGACTTTTATTTTGCGATTTATACGAGTACATAAACAAAAACAATGACAAAAATTGATGATGGGGACTACCAACATTTGCATAAACATAGTTGCATAAACTCGATTTTCGGAAATAAAAAGCTATTTATTATTATAATGTTGTATCTTTCGTTTAGGAAATCACGGCAAAGTAGGCGTTGGTTGCCGTACAGATCCAAAACAAAAATTTCCTTTTAGATATAACAATGAGTTGGGATTTATTTTATCCAAAGTTAAAGTTTAAATAATAAAAGAAAATAATTTTATTTAAGATCATTTTATCGCCTATTTTCACAAAACAAAAATAACGATTCAAAACATACCTCTATATTTCATCATTTCCAATTTACAAAAGTCTTGCTAAGTTGATACACGACCGCTATTTAGTGCCGAACTACATCGCTATAATTCTCTTTCAATCTACCTACATCATTATTTATTTTTAGTGGGTAGATAAACATCACTACGCGACGCGTAAACACGTCACTGGCGTCCGGTACATAACTTTAATGCTTCAGTTCTTGGGCATTCATTTTAAATGTTTATGCAATTGATTAGATAGTTTTTCCTACGTTCTCTGGTAAATATATCTTCAGCGCAGTCATGGTAAGATATTGGGTCAAAAATAAACTCTAATGAACAGTCATTACATTTTTTTCAATGGTAATCAAACAGCATTTTTAGACGTTTTAAGACGTCATCTGCGTCTCGAACATAATTTTGAATCACGTTTTGATGCATCGTCGGCGGTCAATGGGTTAATAACTTCAAATTTTTAGCAAATTGTAGTAAAAAACATGTAGGTATTTTAAATAACAATCATATTTTTGTATTCATTATAATTATGTTTGATAGGAGGAGGAGGAGGAGGGGGGGGGGGGGGCATATAGTTGCCATGCAATTTTTTTTTATTCAGCTGTTATCAGGGAGATGCTGCTGCCCATTTCCTGATTCAAGTTCCCTCTGTCGCCTGTTACGCGACATTCACGAGATTGGGATGTTTTCTAGCAGAGCCTATTAAAACTGTCCGAATTTGCTTGAACTTAACAAACAAGTGATACGATTCGCGCTATAATTTTAATCCTCAGTTGATTTTTTCTGCCGACTTCCAAAAAGGAGCCGGTACTCAATTCGACTGTATGTTTTTTTTTTTTTCGTTTTTTTTTTTATGTGTGTTACCTCAGAACTTTTTTCTGGGTGAACCGATTTCGATGATTCTTTTTTTATTTGAAAGCTGGTACTTCTCGTGTGGTCCCATATGAATTTGATCAAGGTCAGACCAATAGTTTTTAAGTTATTCTTAAATAACTTATATTGAAGTCGGCTGTACAAAATTTTTAATTTTAAATTATTTAATAATAGTGTTATTGCATAACATGGGCCTTTCCCGTTGTACGGTGGATTTACCTGAAGCGTCATGCTTGACAGGCGGCTGGACATTGGCATTGGTATGACGTCTCGGAACCTCTGACGCTGCGTCTGGGTATTTTATGTTTAACGTAAACTAGGTATTATACCGCCATCTATTTGGGCGGGCCATAAGATTTTTCTAGAATTTTCCATAGTCGCCTCTTTCGACACCCACGGGACTAAATTGGGCGACATTTCCTTGGTGCCGGCGAGGCGAGAACCCGGATTGCGGACCGCGAACTTTAAATTTACAGCGAGCGTTAAGCCCCTGAGCTACCACTTGGTCGGCGGTGAAGGAAAACATCGCGAGGAAAATGCTTGTCTGAGAAATTAAAAAATATATTTCGAAGATAGCCAACACGCTTTGGTGAAGCGCGGCGGACACTTCCTTGCAACACCACTCAAAATTTTGTTGCAAAAGGCTGTACATTACTTTACTTTTACCACCACATGGCAATGAGGGCTAATAATATTCTTCCATTCACCAGATGTCGCTAGTTGTGACTAAGGTAATATTTTTTGTTACATAATGTCAGTTAATTGAGAAATTAGTTTTGAATAATAGTTTATCATTATCTAGAGTATTATATTAATATACAATACAATGCGTCAGTGGTTTGATTTTTAGGTTTTTGCACTTTATATATCGTTTTATTAATTTTTCTAGTTTTAGTTATATTTATAGTTTGGATTATTCATTTCTAATCTAATTAATATAAAATATAACTAATGATACGGAAAGAAACCTTAAAATTTACATTTTCCTAAGAAATTATCGTACACACTATGAAATCTGTCAAATATTTTACCTCACTGTAAAGTGGCGCCGTCCTGGTGACAGAAAAAGTCGTAGATGCCCTCATTGAATTGCTATCTCATGGAATCTAAAAAAAACTAGCTGGGCTACTTAACTAGGCATTTTAATTTGCATGTTTTGTTTCGACATCAGGCATATCAACGCTGATTGGTGAGGATCTCACGTGGCTGCTGGATACCTTCAAGTCCTGCAATCCGGCATGGCGACAAGTGCGATGTATCGTGTGTGATCCCACTAAGAGTGAACAGGTGATTAATATTTATTAACAGTTTGATTCCAATGCGTCGCCAACTGAGGGGCGGAGGTAGCCATCTCTCTGGTGATCCGGTGTTAAAATAGAGAGGAAGAATTAAGTCAGTAATTAATTAAAAAAGTCATATAAAACACAGCAGCCTCATACTGCTATTTAATGCTGGCGTTTTGTGCCAGTGTGGTCCTTCCACAGTAGAGTGACCAATGCAACAACAATAACACCAAAGAGAATATAATCACTACGTTTAAGAGGCGGGACTTCCTAACAAAAAGTAAGCTAGTAGTTCTCGTGTGGTCCCATATGAATTTGATCAAGTAGATATAATATATAATAGATAGAAGAAGATAGTTTTTGAGTTATTCTTGAGGCCTAAACAGTGGTTGAAATGCCTAAATCGTGGATATTTAAGGCGCAGGTTGAGCAAAATGTCGCGCTAGTCGTTATTTGGGCGGTTTTTAGGAGCTATCTACTTTTTATTTAAAAGATATATCAACAAATAAAAAACACATTATATTTCTACATAATCTTGATTCCATAAAAGCTATACCCAATTTTTTTTTAAAGGAATAAATATTAATATAATCTCCTTACAACGAAACCACATAAATGTGAAATTATTATTGATAACATGCATCTCCTCGTAAAGTAAGTATTATTTTATTTTGCGATTTACACCAATGGATAGGCAATTTATTAATAAACATTTCTATAGTAAATTTTTTTTCAAAACACCAAAATTTGATTTTATTAAGAAATTATTTTAAAATCTGGGCATATTTACTGCTCACGGGCTTGCTGAAGTCAGTGAGCGCTGAGCTCTTCGATGTGAAGCCCGTGTCGTTAGAGCGTCGACCAACGCATACGCCACGTCATATGAGTCGATAATATTATTACTTATTATTACGGATCGCCGTAATGCCGTGCGAAAAATGGAATAAAACGCGCTGGTCTTGCTTTTAACTGGAGGCAAGCGGCGGTGAGGAGGAACTTGTACTTTTTCTTTTCTTGCTGGTGCCTTTTCGGTGGCTGGAGAGCGACTGTTGACCCTAGCGGCCGGCCCGTCTTTTATATGATTTTTGCCGCTGCTGGCCAGCGGACCCTTGCCTCACCCCCGCGCCTATCTTTATTTATTTAATAACCTTACAAACTAATAAACATAATTCACTATATAATATTCTTATAACTACTTGTTAGACTAGGGTGTACATATCAATATTTTTACTTATTTACAGGTTTACATTATAATTTTCAGCTGCTTTAGGCGGAGAATCCTTCCCCCCGCCTCAGCACTATAAATATAAAACGTCGTGGCGCGGTGCGCGTGGCTTCATTTGCTCCTCGGCCGCGTCACGATAACATGCTCTTTGGTTACACTACTACTATTTTTTTTATGTGCCTAACGGCCTAATATATTTATTATATAATAAAGTAAACATTTATTATATTTAACAATTATAGTTTTCATTAGAAGACTATGCTAACTCTCCCTGTTCATACGGTGCCTTTATTTGGGAGAGTTATTGCACAGTTACAACTCAACCTTAAACTTAGTTATAATACAATCATTATTTTTTATCGTTCGATACAAGTAATACAATTATTTACACAAATTATAATTTAAATTCAACATAAGGTTGCGCTAGTTCCGCCGTATAACCCTTGCTAGTTGTCGAACCAGAGGCGTGGCCTGATAATTACACCGTCGTCCTGGCTCCGCCCACCGCTCCTAGGTTGTTCAACTAGCGCCGGTTACAATAAGCATTTTCTTTCGTTTGTTTAATATTGTTGCGTCGTGCACACTTATTAGGTTATTTATAGGTAGTATTATTTGTTTGTTTTGGGTATAATTTTTCGTATTAGTTATACATATATTTGTTGTGTTTTTTACTGCGCGATGAAGATTTTTGCGTGTATTTTCTTTGAAGTAAATGCAAATAAAAAAATGAAGCACCATTAGCATGTAAGGTTCGAATCCATAATTAAAATTTCGACAAATATTATAATTTACACTATAAAAGGCTAATTCAATATTATCACCCAACCACAATATCTTATCAGGTATAGTACTGCCTCGTTGGTCTAGTGGTTGTAGTAGTGCGACTGCTGATCATGAGGTCCCGGGTTCGAATCCTGGGTCGGGCCAAAAAGTCAGTTATGAGTTTTTCATTTATGCTCTAAGTTATAATTAGTATTACTAAGTTATAGTTTTTTGCTAAAATATAGTATATTATTTATTGCTTGTTTTTTCTTCTTTTTCAAAAAATAATTGAGTACATAAGGTGTTCTATACTTATAACTCGGTAAAAAGTACTAATATACCTACTTTTTACTATAAACTAAAAATTTTTAAAACTAAATTTAACTAAAAAGACTAAACTGACCATTTATTTTTTAACTCATAACAGGACATGGGTTTATTTATACTCTAAAAACTATAACTTTATACAGTTAGTGTTCACTATAAAATTATATTCGGTATAGACGGTAATTATTAAATGCAACATATTTTTTTTTAATTATTAATTACATTTGTCAGTGGATTAAATTTGCTTTAATAAAGTTGGTGATGATTTTAAATAAGAATAAAATTCTGCTCTAGTTTTTTATTGTTTTCTTTGTTAACAACATCGCCTTTAGAACTCTGGAACCGTAAGTGTTTCTTTCAGACGTCCACAATTTATGCAATATAAAAAAATACTCTTTCTACCGGAGCATTCGTACCAGATAGACATAAAATATATTCGATTAAAAAAAATTATGTTGAAGATTGTTGACTTTGAATACTTCCATCCAACGAGTTACGGGACAATTTTGTGTCCCGGAGCTTTGTTTGGGGACAATGGGACAGGAGACCGAGAAAAGGGACAGTCCCGTTCAAAACGGGACGTATGGTCACTTTAGCTATAACCCGGCGACCATGAAGCAAATACAAAGTTAGTCTTTGTATTAGCTTCATGGTGGCGCAGTGGCTTAGCAATCAGTTGTTGCGCTGGGGGCCGCGGGTTGGAATCCCGCATGGAACAAGATTTGTATGGCCTACAAATAATTGTTCCGGGTCTGGATGTTTGTCTTTGTGCAATTTATGTTTGTAAACTGCCTCCACGACACAGGAGAAAATCCTAGTGTGGGTGTAACGTTTTTTTTACAACTGAAATTGAAAGATTGAACCCTTATACTTCTTGTTGATTTTTGTATTTATATATTTTTTATTGCACCAAATATTTGTACAAAAGCCGAGTTATCTATTTATCTACCTATAGTGAATAGGTATCTTTTAAACTCACAATTTTCAATGCTTCCGTTTTAATATATAATTAATTATAAAATTTCATAATTAGATAATATATGAAAATACATAATTCTAATATAATGCAACTAATATATACAGAATAAAAAAATTAAAATACATTTATCTTTGTACGCTATGTGTATTTCCATAAAATAGTTTATTGATGTTGAAAAAATAATACTACTTTCGTACAATAGGTGGCGTCTTACATATTTCTTCCGGCGAGCCGCTCGCTACAATATATTAATATTGTAGCGAACGGCGCGCCGGTCAAATGCTCAAGGTCGTTCGCATGGAGTAGCCCCTTAAGTAAAAAAATCTCAATAACTGTTCATTTAATCCACAAAAAAAAAATACAGGGTAACAGAAGAGGATTTGGTAAATGTTTTTAATTGAACAAAATTGTATTTTTGTCAACCCCTTATTAGAAAAAAATCCCCAAAGAGCCTATCTTTGTCATATTTTGCAAAATTTCTCCAAAACGGCACAAGCTTTTTAAATAGTTCTTACACTAAAAAAAGGTCTTAAAAATATTAATATTTTTAATTGAGAGTTTTATTTTTATTCCCCGTTTTATAAGAGAATATATCATTTTCCCTGAAATTGAATATATTTACGCGAGCGGGCATGCTCCGTCGCCATGTTGCAGTTCGTTTACGGACGTCGTCGAGGGTGGACCGCGCGTCGGTGTTGGAGCGGATTCGTTCAAATATATATATTAGTTTTTTAAAAGTTTATACTCAATTATAAATATTTTTATGACTAGAAATACTTAATTTAGTTAATATCTGTACACTGGTAACTGTAAATATTATTTTCTAAATAAATTAATTTTTAAGTGCCCAAAGAAGAAGAAATTTTCGCGGCGACGTTGATTAGTGAAATTTAAAAATGCATTTTTATATAATTTAGATGTGGAACGACGAACATTTTTAATACCTATGTAATATTATTGTTGCATATTTTTATTAATTAGTTGATACTGAATTTTATAATTATGTACTACAATAAAACGCTGTTTTTATGAGTATGAATTTATAAAATATTATTAGGGAGGGAAATATAGATACAGATACTTACAATTAAGTACACTGTTATCAAATTAAATAAAAAAATTTAAATAAATAAAAAAATGGTGCTTCCCTAAATATAAATAACTATATATAAAGACATTCTTGGGCTTATGTTTTTTTTTAATGTTAGACAAACTACCATCTAAAAAATGTAAAAATTTTAAATTGGAGAGGGGTTTCTCTAGAAATTAAAATATTCGCAGTAGAACCAGAGTAACTGACATAACCCAACGGAATATTAAAGTGAAATGGCAATGGGCTGGCTATATAACTTGGAAAACCGATAAAAAAATAGGAAGAAAGGTTCTCGAGTGGCAACCTCGTACAGGTAAGCGAAGTAGTACTCAACCTTTATTCCTCTTCACGTATTCTCATACGCTTATACACACACACACACACACACACATACACACGCACACGCGCACACATACACACACACACACAGACATACACACACGCACACACACACACGCGTACACACACACACGCACGCACACACACACGCACGCACACACACACAGACACACACAGACACAAACAGACACACACACACACACACACACACAGACAGACACACACACACACACACACACACACACACACAAATAATACTTACCTAGTACTATTAGGCAAGAGTGAATAGGTATTTTTAAGTCAGTGCAATTCACCATCTTAGGCTACATAACCACTTACCGATGGTTGCTTTATTACTTGCTGGGTGAAAATAGTAAAAAAAAACCCTGTGAAAGTTTGCATTTACATATAATTTTTCTAACCAACCATAAAAATATGATGAGAATATGTATATAAGTATAAATGTTGCCTCACACGGGACAGTAATAATATAATATTATATCTTCCATTATCTACGCATGAAAACTTTTAAAATCTCTGAATCCCGAGGTATGTCCAAATTAAGAGGGTGAATAGAGCCACATTGATATGCATGGGGATCGTTTTGTAACTTCACGTCGTTATCGAAAAAAAAAATGTATGTATTTCAGGTGGCGGTTTGCCAAACACAATTCCACAAAAATTCACTCAATAGAAAATAATTGCAAAGTTGCTTCTGAAAATACTTAAATTTTCAACATCAATTTTTTCTTACGTGGTAGAGCCATGCTGCAGCTATATTAGTAGTAGGTATAGTTGTAGCACGAATGGGTAGGCTCGACCGGGGAAGGGCCACGATGTCACAGAATACCATGTAAAATAGCAGTTTAACCCTGCTGTGTTTCGTATGGTGAGTGTAGAGAACCGGAGAACCTTTTTACTGGAAACGAGGCATTACATCTTAGTCCTCACGGGTGACAACGCATCTACATTTTGAGACGTAATCGAGAATAGATGTAGATGTCTATGGGCCGTAGCAACCACTTACCATCAGGTGGACTGTGTGCTCGTCACCCTTATTCTATAAAAAAAAAAAACTTTCTGAGATTTCTGTAAAATAATGTTAAGTATTGTAAGCACTCGTACAATAATTATGTGTTTCATGTTAATAAAGCTATTGGGCTATTTTGATTTTCAATAAAGTGATTTTACTTTATAGGTTAAATAATTTATTTACCCTTCTATATCAAGAACCGTTTTTTCTGTCACTCCTATTGAATTTGACAATGCTTGCTGAAATTTAGCATCTTTAGATGGATCAGAATCGCGCGCTGATCCGGCTGTTAGATATTGCAAAAATAATCGAAACTATTTATTTTTACTTTCTTGCCGAAGACTTGTTTTATTTTATTACGGTCAAATAATATTTATTAGGTTATAAAGCAAGTATTTACAAATGTTTTCATTATTTTGTTATTCTATTGTTTACAGTTATTATCACGTCTTAGCTTTACATCAAGAATTACATTAGAAATTCTTGATGGGATGCGATGCGCATACTTTATTTTCATCAAGAACTATAATATATATGTTTGGTTTTTTTACCAGTAGAGTTTCAACACAATCTTTAAAAAGTTCAATGAATTAAAAAAATGCTGATAATTATATAATTTCAAGTCAGTGTTTTACATTTAAAGATCAGTTATAAAGAGCCAAAGTTCTTATTTTCATTTTGATCAATTTAATTCGAGACTAAAATAAATGTGAAAGGGCTTTTATCTGCAATAATAATTTTCATCAAAAATAACATTATTATAAGTCATATACACGGTCAATCATACTGAAGATTATCAATTGTACTACAAAATATTTAAAAGACTATTTCCAGTATAATGACCCGAATATCATCATTAATGCTTGACTGGCACACTTAAAAGTTTTATCACATGGCTAAATGATTGACTATTATATTATGATAAGGTCATGCTTTTCTATAAAAAGTTGCAAGAAATTTTAAATCACGGACATATTGGTTTGTTTTACTTTTCACTTAATTAGTGAAAAACAAGATGGACTGATCTAAAAGTTTAATTTCTTGTGTAAAAAGTGCTATTTAGAATTTTATGCAAATGATAATTTAAGTTTCTATGTAAATAAGTGTAACATAGCGGGTATTATATTCAATGGTAGCGGCCATCCATATTTGCAAAGCTAGCATCATTTTCTGTACAGAAACCGGCAAAGTGTTGCTCAAGGCACTAGTAATGTTTATAGTGTCTATACTTGTAAACAATACTTGTGTGAAAAATGGTGTACACAAGATAATTAAGAACAGACAAAATCTTCTTTTCGAATTTCCGCCGAGTTGTAAGTAGAAGGCCAAATAGGTCATGTGTCAATTTTAATTAAATATATTTTATATGAAGTGATCTTGACTACGTTTCATCAATTAACCATTGGTAAAACTAAGATCATGTTTAATGTCCATGTCACACCTATGCCGGTAGTTGTTGGGAACACTAAGCTCGAAGTTGTTGACGAGTATGTTTACCTGGGACAAATAGTCCGACTAGGTAAGTCCAACTTCGACCGAGAGGTCAATCGACGGATTCAACTCGGTTGGGCAGCGTTCGGGAAATTACGGCACATCTTCTCGTCAGGTATACCTCAAACCTTGAAAACGAGACTGTACACCCAGTGCGTGTTGCCAGTGATGACATACGGAACTGAGACGTGGTCCTTCACTGCTGGCCGGATGAGGAAGCTCAAGGTCGCTCACGGATTAGTAAGCTGAAGTGGCAATGGGCCATATAGCTCGAAGAACCGACAACCGATGGGGAAGAAAGGTTCTCGAGTGGCAGCCTCGTACCGGTAGGCGAAGTGTAGGGCGTCCCCCCACGAGATG